GCGACCTGGAGGTCGTCGGTCTTCTCCTTAATCTCGGCGGCGGTGGCAGTGCCCTCGCCGGCGAGGCTCTTGGAGACGAACTCGCGGAGGGCGGCAATCTTCTCACGGATCTTGTCGGCCTCCTCCTTCTCGAGCTTCTCAGCGTACTCGTTCAGGGCACGCTCAGTATCGTTGAGGACACTGTCGGCGCGGTTGGCAGCCTCGATGGAGCCCTTGCGCTCCTTGTCAGCCTCGGCGTACTTCTCTGAGTCCTCGACCATCTGCTGGATCTCGTTGTCAGACAGACCCGAGCCGGAAGCAATGGTGATGGACTGGTCCTTGTTGGTGGACTTGTCCTTGGCGTGGACGTGGACAATGGAGTCAGCGTCAATGTCGAAGGTAACCTCAACCTGGGGAACACCGCGGTGCGCAGGGGGGATGCCAACGAGCTGGAAGTTGCCGAGCATCTTGTTGTCACGGACAAGCTCACGCTCACCCTGGTAGACCTTGATCTCGACGGCGGTCTGGAAGTCGGCGGCCGTGGAGAAGACCTGGGACTTCTTGGTGGGGATGGTGGTGTTGCGGTTGATCAGACGAGTGAAGACACCGCCGAGGGTCTCGATACCGAGAGAGAGGGGAGTGACGTCGAGCAGGAGAAGGTCCTTGACCTCACCAGAGAGGACAGCACCCTGGATGGCGGCACCCATGGCGACGGCCTCGTCAGGGTTGACCGACTTGGCGGGGTCGCGGCCGAAGATGCTCTTGACGGACTCGGACACCTTGGGCATACGGGTCATGCCGCCAACGAGGATGACCTCCTGGATGTCCTTGGTCTCGAGGTTGGCGTCCTTGAGAGCCTTGCGGACGGGACCGATGGTCCTGGTGATGAGGGGGTCCATCATCTTCTCAAGCTGAGCACGGGTGAGCTTGAGGTTGATGTGCTTGGGGCCGGACGAGTCGGCAGTGATGAAGGGCAGGTTGACGTCGGTCTGGAGGGACGAGGACAGCTCAATCTTGGCCTTCTCGGCGGCCTCACGGATACGCTGGATGGCCATGCGATCGTTGGACAGGTCAATGCCGGACTCGTTCTTGAAGGTCTGGACGAGGTGGCGGACGAGGTGGATGTCAAAGTCCTCACCACCCAGGTGGGTGTCACCGTTGGTGGACTTGACCTCGAAGACACCGTTCTGGATCTCGAGAACGGAGATATCGAAGGTACCACCGCCAAGATCGTAGACGGCGACAACACGGTCGGCGTCCTTCTCCATGCCGTAGGCAAGGGCGGCAGCGGTGGGCTCGTTGACGACACGCAGAACGTTCAGGCCGGCAATCTGACCAGCATCCTTGGTGGCCTGACGCTGAGAGTCGTTGAAGTAGGCAGGGACAGTGACGACGGCGTTCTTGACAGGCTTGGAGAGATAGGCCTCGGCCGTCTCTTTCATCTTGTTCAGGACGAAGCCACCGATCTGGGAAGGAGAGTACTTCTGGTCACGGGCGGAGACCCAAGCGTCGCCGTTGGTGTGCTGGATGATCTTGTAAGGAACCTCCTTGATGTCCTTCTGGACCTCAGCATCGGTGAACTTGCGGCCGATGAGACGCTTGGTGGCGAAGAGGGTGTTCTCGGGGTTGACGACGGCCTGACGCTTGGCGGCAACACCAACGAGACGCTCGCCATCTTGCGCGAACGCAACGACGGAAGGGGTTGTGCGGGTACCTGTTGACTCGGTTAGAGCAATGCCGCTGGGGTTGCGATTTGGGCAGGGTGTGACTGACCTTCGGCGTTCTCAATAATCTTGGGGATCTTGCCCTCCATGACGGCAACGGCAGAGTTGGTGGTACCTGTGGGTGGCATGGTCAGCACGACTGTTGCGGTGATGCGCCACAAAGCTTCCGAAAAGCTTTTCATGCAGGGCACAGGGGAGGCATTGATGACCTACCAAGATCGATACCGATGACGGTGCCCGTCACCTTACCCTCGGCTTCCGTTGACTCATAGCGAGCGAATCTGGTAGCGAAGGAAGGACGAGCGAAAGCAGCAGCGCGTGCTGAGGTAGCTCGGGGCAGCTGTCGAGGAAGCTCGGTTAGCGGGCTATTGGGGCAGGTTGGTGATGTGCGCGTGCGCGAAGAGCTCAGCTCGACGCGAAGGCGCAAATGGACTGGGACTTACAGCTCTGGAAAGACGCGAGGCCATCATCTTGGCTGTGGTGTGTGGATGGGAGAGAGGAAAGGGGGGGTATAAAGACAGAGAAATGGATTGGAGGAAGAGAAGGATGATGCACGCGGCAAGTGACGATGGAAAGGGGAGGGTTATTATTTGGGGGGAGATGGAGGAGTGATGATGGCAGAAGGGAAGGAGACGGGTCGAAATTTTTTGGGCCGAGAGCAATCATCGCCCCCAGTCGTAGAAGCCGACCGAAAGCCGCAGGGGCCCCATTCCAATTCCCCCCTGTCCCACAGCCATTGGCAAACCCATTTGCCCGGAGGAACAGTGTCGCCGTGCACACGTGACCGTTCAGGGATCAGGGCTCATGCAGGCTGTCGTCAGTACTGCCACCTGCACCTGCACCCAGCTCCGTCGTCCAACGTCCCCTGCGATGCGTAGCATGCGCCCAAGCTGCTTGAAGCAGTCAGTAACGATGATGATTACGAAGCAGAGTTGCATCACAGAATGAGAGCGATACCAACTGGAGGTCACAGAGTTGGCCTCGTCCCCGTCGCATCTTCGCATGGAGAGAAGATGCGCTGTATGGAGGTAGCCCTGGCGAACCTTCCGTGCTATGTGAAGTACAAGTCGGCGTGGAAGTAGCTGGGGGGGGGGCCATCCCAGTAGTACTCGCAGCCCTGAAATCATGTCTAGTGCACGCCTCCTGAAGCAGGATCGAAATCTCAACTCGTCGTGGGATATACTCAAAACATCGAGCTGAAAGAGCTCCCGCCCTCCTCCTCCTCTTCTTCTTCTGCTTCTTCTTCTGCTTCTTCTTTTACTACTACTACTACTACTACTACTACTATACCAGCAAGGAGATGAATTCGATTTGTCAAGGTATCTTTTTCAGAGGCGATCGAAGAACGAGCATGAGGTCCACCGCGTGGCGAACTTGGACATTCGATGGGACTGGAATTTGGGTCTACCCAGATCACCGTACTGCACCTCGCACTGCTGCCTCGCCGCACTGATGGGTGTCGACGATGAATGCCTGGACAGGGGAGAGCCATCGGGCCCCAGAATGAATCCACTTGTATTTGCCTTTTTGGGACGACGTGACCGAGGTATCCAGACGCTGGACCGACCAGCATCCGGGTGATTTTGGCAAGCACATCGGGCACATGCCGCTGCAGCTGAGCTGCTTTTCATTGACTATTGTAGGACCAGGCGTCAAAACGGCGTCAAGATGGCATGAACATGCTGAATGTGGCGATCGAAAAGGGGGGGGTTTCTCGATGTCGAGATGCTCCTGGCCGAGATACTTCGGGCGTCAGCAACACGAGGCGGAGGTCAAGGTACCGCAGGCGATGATGCAACCCCAGCTCGGCCCCTCCATGTATCCTTTGATTAGGTGCTCGCCGCCCTGAACATCTCATCACCCGAGCCATCACTGCTGT